CATGCTTTCGTTTCAGGCTAGGTGCAGGTGAGTCCACCATGCGTGAAAAACAGTATAGTCTGAATCAAGCTCTAGGATCTGTTAATACCAGCCGGGCTCAAGTGCCAAGCTTCGAGGAATTCTCTCGCTTGCCTCGTATTAGCCATGGCGATCACCTATTGAATCAGTGATCACACTCATAGGAGTGCGCAAATACGAGTGATAAATGGTCTCGTCGGCGAAAGGCTGATTTATGTTCCTTGGTGCGAGTCTTAAGACGTCGGCCAACCTAAACAGAAGGGCTACCGGCGCATGGTATGCGATTAATGACGTAACTTAGTTGTTCTATGGGTAGGGGCTCCTTTACTCGACATAGGCTTGCGCGCAGTGAGGATGCGGGCTTGTGGGCGACGGGGATACCGAAACGACTTAGTTGCCGAGAGAGGGTTTCAGATATTTCATTCATGTAGGATAGAGAATAAAACTTACGTGGCACTGTATCTTCACTGGGAGGACGGTTTTGTGTTTGACCCCGACGTCTAAGGCAATTTTTAACGAAGCTTGTGGGATATACGTTGGAAAAATAAGCTAGTTCTCTTTTGAGCAAACCATCATTAATGCAATAACGATGGGCCCGTCGGAAAAGAGTACAGCTTCTTTCATGGGCCGCAGGGTGGTTACCCCTATAGTCAAGGATGATTTCTGCAGTGGAGTCCTTTCGGTAGACGCTTGCTGTGAGTTTGCCATCCGTGAGTCTTCTTAATCTCACGCTCAGGAATGGTAGGGTATCTCCTGTTGCCTCTTCGCAGGTAAATTGCAGTTCTGAGAAGACATACTTATATAACTATCATATTCAATTGAGTAAGCGTTGAAATACTTGTTACCTCACCCAAAAACTCAGAAATATCTAGTTATTTTTAAGCAATATACGCATATTTATCGACTTATCGTACCACACTATATATCCGAATTCACGCGCAGCTACTGTGAGTTTAAAAATTGAGGTAAAACCCATTTGTTGAGATTTTAGTTGAGTCCTTACATTTCCATATAGAGTCGATGTCGGTTTGTAGCCCTCCTATTTGCAGGTAACGTTTGCGCAAATCTGGTTGGCTATTGGTTATATTTGTATTATCGCGCGCAAATTTTTCGCTTCTTAAAATAATCGTATCTTATTATTTTCTACTTTTAAAAAATAAAAATTTAAATTTTTTCTTTCCCGTGATATGACTTAACCATCAAAAGTCTATTAAAACCGCTCCCGTAAGACATGGAGGATGGGGCTAGCGATATCTAAGTACCTCGGCATATGCTGCCATTTCTTCCTTTGCCCCGAATTGATTAACCACTTTTGCAAAAAACGCAAGTACGTCTTCTCCTTCTTCCTTTCAGATACCAATTCACGAACTGCAGAGTCAGTCTATCCGGTTCGAGGTTCTGTCAGTCGAACGCACAAAACGAAGCAAAGTTGTGGGCTTCGTCTCCTTCCCCCTCTCCGCCCTGAAGACTGCGGACTCACAGTGGCAGCCAGTGAGGGTTGCGCGTGACCTGCAACTCTATGAACTGTCCAGTGTGAGTTACTAACCCCCCCGTCTGCTTCGTCGGCACTGACATCTTCATGCTGCCCTCTTCCTTTTTTTAAAGACAGCAGTTGCCGGCGTGCTATTGTCTAAAACGTTAGATTTATTTAAGAGGAGATGTGTGATGTGCGGATTTTGAAATGCCGTCTTGACTTCCTATTCCGACGCCCTTCCTATACAATAGTCACTTGTCAGAATCTGTCTCTAATGAAAACAATAGTAGTTTGAAGGACGCGTGCGATGAGATTCACTTATGGAGAAGAAAGAGTGACGTGCGCCTGCGTTTGTCTGCACTGGTTGTCAGGTTGCGAGACACCGATGCAATTCGTTCGATGAGGTACTTTTGACCCGTCTGCGTGGAGTATCCCCGCCGCACTCGAGAGCATGCTTGTGTTTACAGTCCAAGTAAAGACTTATTATGCGAAAACAAATTCGAGGTCCAGATAAATATTCCTTTCATCATCCCCGGAAGAGAAACAAGAAGATATGATTTCTGGGGCCTAGGTGGAATTTGGGTGACGTTTCAAAAGCGTGGTCGCCCACCAAGCGTTTCGCAAAAGGCTGACATTGAATTAGAACGGAGCAATAGGTCAGGCGGAGAGAGGTAAGTAGGGCCGACAGCCGGCAACCGCGAGCAAAGAGAGTGGAAACGCTCATGAGACACAAAAACAACTTGACACAGCTCATGAAGACGCCGGTGAGGGCGCGAGCAATTCAAATAGCCACAAAAATCGATCGGTGCACTCGATTGACACATGAGCATTAGGCAAGGTAAGTGGTCAGACACATTCATCTGACGCGAACAAGAGTACTGACCCCACGATCTGACGATGGAAGCGATCACTCTTTTGAAACGGGGGCAATGAAAGGAATAATAAGACTTATATTTGGCCGAATGAAGGCAGAATACACCCAAAACAGAATGTTTAAATCTACCCGCATTTCATCTCATCCCTCCTCTCTGCAGCTATAAGTTGGCAGACTTGAGCCTAGTAATTGGTTGCCTGATCGTGATTTCTGTCTCCCGTGTGTAGTTTATATGCTTTAAGAAGCCAATAAATTGACGCACGCACATTCATTTTAAAAAATGTATGTATGCATTTAGGCAAAAAAATAACTTGTTTTTACCGGAACAGAGTAGAAACATTTAAGATTTAAAGATCTTGTATTTGGCAGTTCGAAACCCAGACACACAAAAAGTTTACCGAAAAATCGCCTTTTTATTAATCCAGTGAGAAAATGTTTCGCGGTTATGCGGCAGAAGTTCATTACTTTAAGTGGATATATTCGCATTATCCGTCATCTGACTTTGAATAGCACACATATATAAGTTTTATTAAAAGATCCTATGTTAAGCTTTTTAATCTCCTGAGAAATTAATTTCTGTTCGCAGTATATATCAGTATTAAGGCAAATGTCCTCATTCCAGGTATGTGTGCAGATAGAGAAGTAGAAGGCGTTGCAATCAGCAGAATCATACTTTTAATTGTCTGATGGCAATGTTGGTTGACTGCTCCCTCCCCCCTTCTCACTCCCCCCCATAACGGTTGATTGGCCCCTGTGTCCTATAACTGTTGCTTGTCTTTCGTTTACACCTTCATTCTCTGACGATGGACTCTAGAAAGACCCCAAAAGCTCAGACAATTAAAAGTATGATTCCAGTTATCGCAACGCCTTCTACTTCTCTATATATCAGTAGATTTAAGGACCCACTGATGAGCCGGATCCCTCGCAGCTGTGTCAAGCAGCGGCAGAA